TCTTGTAGAAACAGACTAATACACACAGTCTTTTCCATATTTAAGATTATGTCCCCAGTAGGATTATTGTACATAATACATGACTGAGGTATGGCTCTCCAATCACTGTTAAACTGTGCCCTTGAGGGAAAGATTTTGGATATAAAGACACCCTTTACTAGACCAACAGAAATGAGTCAATAAAAAATGTGTGCATGTGTGAGAATGTGTGTGTATTGCTTGTGTGCATGGTCGGGTAGGTGGGGAGATGGATATAGAGAACAATTTCCAAAGTTGCTTTTTGGCTAGTAGAGGTTAAACTTGAAATTTGGGGAAACAAATTGTGATTTGAGCAGGTGAGAAAATAAAAATGGACAGAGACCTAGAGAAATTTTGAAGCAAGGCCAGAGAAGTTGCTGGAACATGAGTTGGCTGTCTCAGCTTCTCAAAGCAAAGCGGGGAATGAGGTCTTCTAAGACAGACTGCAGGGGACAGGTGGAGCTAGAGGATGGGAGAGGGAAAGGATGGTGGCAATAATGGAGGTAGAGCAGAGCTTCCGGACGCTCTGACTTGAGCTCACTACCCCTGGTCTCAGAGCTCTGAATTATCTGCAGTCTCATGGCCTCAGCTGGTATCACATCCTTGAAAGGTGAAAGGATGGTGGGGGCAGGGGGTGGGGATCTGCTCAGATGGCTCCCGCTGTGCAGGCACCAAATCTGTAGGCTGCCTACTGTGGTCTACATCACCTCCTCTTTGGCTGTACTGAGATAACTGTAGAGTCAGGCTGTCACTGTCACTGTGAAGTCAGGGCTATCACTGTGATGTCCGTGTGAAATCAGAACTGTCACTGTGTAGTCAGGGATGTCACTCTGATTTCAGGGATATCATTGTGTAGCCAGGGCTATCACTGTGATGTCAGGACAGTCACTGTGAAGTCAGGACTGTCACTGTGTAGTCAGGGCTGTCACTATATAGCTAGGGCTGTCACTGTGATGTCATAACTGTCACTGCAATGTCCGGACTGTCACTGTGTAGCCAGGGCTGTCACTGTCAAGTAATGCTGTCACTGTGAAGTTTGGGCTCACTATCACTGTGAAGTCAGGGCTCACTGTCTTCAGATACTCTCTGTCTGTTTTCCATTGAAAACAGGGTTTGCTTCCTCTGTCTGCCAACCCTGCTCTCACTGAGATCACCCTGGAGCTCTGCTTAGCTACTCCCCCTATCATCTGACCCTCCCTTCTACTTTTTAAAAAATATTTTCAGTTGTTGATGTACCTTTATTTTATTTATTTGTATGGGGTGCTGAGAATTGAACCTAATGCCTCACGCATGTTAGGCAAGAGCTCTACCACTGAGCTACAACCCCAGCCCCCCTTCCTTCTCTTTGAGACACTTTGTTACATACATGGTTTCTAAAATACCAAACTTACCTCTTTTTTTTTTTTTTTTTTGGTACCAGGGATTGAACTCAGGGGCACTCCACCACTAGGCCACATCCCCAGCCCTATTTTGTATTTTATTTAGAGACAGGTCTTACTGAGTGCTTTGCTGTTGCTGAGGCTGGCTTTGAACTCACGATCCTCCTGTGTTAGCTTCCCGATCCCTGGGATTACAGGTATGCACCACTGCACTCGGTCTGGCTACTCCTCCTTAAGCCTCTTGCTGGTTTCTCCTCCCATCACTTAAATGTTGGTGTGCCTCAGGGCCAAGCGCCCAGGCCACTTCTCTATGACATTCCCTGGGTTATCTCCTCCAATGCACTGCCTTTAAGGATCATCTACAGTTCTGATGATGCCCACATTTGTATAGCTGCTAAATCTTCCCAGAAGTCTAGGCTCAGAAATCCAATCACCTGATACTCTTTTTTAGAAGTCTAACAGGCAGCTCAATTTTAACGTGTCCAAAACTGAACTGAGGATACCATTCCCAAAAGTTCTGTCTTCCTCATCTCTTTAAACTGCCCAACACCAATCTTGTCTAAGGTCACACACACTGCCTCTGGCCTCGCCTCAGTTTAAACTTTCATTTCAAATTTAAAGCATGGCACAAGCTTCCTAACCAATCTCCAGTTGCTACCGTGGCCCACTTTAGTGTCCATCCTTGACACAGGGGTATACCAAATCCAAGTCAGTCAAATTACCCTTCTATCAAGAAGCCTCTGCTGGCTTCTCATCTCACCCAGAATAAAGGCACCTTACTCACCTCCTCTGCCCTCCCTTCCCATTGCCTCTTTCACTTGGTATACTTGCTTCCGACCACAATGGTGTCTCCGTGGGACCTGGAACATTCCAGATAATTGACTGCCTTGGGCCTTTGTACCTGCAGACCCAGCTCTACAGCTTGCTTCCTGACATCCTCTTGGTCTTTATATTCCAACGTCAGATTCTCAGAAAGGTCTTCTCTGACCTCTCTATTAAAATTGCATCCCCTGTCCCTCGCAATTCCTATCACCATTCTCTGTTTTAGTTTTCCTCCTGGTGGTTATCACTATCTTATATACCTTATGTGTCATTTATGTATCTTGATCATTGTCTGTTTCCCTCATTAGAATGTAAGCTCCCTAAAGGCAGGAATTTTGCCTGTTTTTCCTCAATGCTGCATCCCTAGGATATAAAATATTTTCTGGCACATAGAATATAATTATATATAATTCTTTTTCTTTCTCTCTTTTCTCTTTACTCCTTTATTCTTTCTTTCTTTTAGGTATAAAAACAAATGTATGACCCGAGTGTAAAGATTTTTGAAATGGGGCAGGAAAAGGTTTTGAAGGAAAATTGGGGGAAGTAAAATTAGAAGGTTAAAAATAAGTGAAAGTGAAGATACACAATAGCTTTCAGGGTGTAGTCTAAATACTAGTCATCACTGTGTCCCCTGGTTCTACTCTGGTGGTTACCTGTAAAGATTAGATTTTAAAATTCATGGAATAGGAGAGTTACAAAAGATCTTTGAGAACACTCTCACTTTACAGATGAGGAAGTTTTTCTTCTAAGTCATGTTGGCAGGTTTTAAATTATTCATTGCCACAAAGACATGGTCCACTGAGCTCAGCTATGCTAGCATGTGACATGCACAATCCTGGAATGAGGAAACTGGCAACCTGAGCAGGGACAAATCCTTTCATACATAAAACACCAAAACGGAACAAGGATCTTTCCTCCCAATGTTTTTAAACAATGAGAATGTCCGTAGTTTTATTAGTCAAACACACATTCTAAGGATAAATGTCCTTTTCTGCTTATATTAACTGTTCCTAGCTATGTAACTGAAGACAATACTACTGGTGGGAAAGAATTATTGATGGGTTCAGTTCATGGGAAAATAGGCAGCCTGCAGTTTTGCTAAATGTACAAATATCCAAACACAGAGCTAAAAAACCAGCCAGAGATAAAATAGACTAGAGAATCTGTCCATCAAACTGAAAAACATTCTTTGCAAGCTATAAAGCCAAGCTTCAGACTTTTTATAAAAAAATGTTTTTAAGTTGTAGATTGACACAATATCTTTATTTTTTTTTTATGTGGTGCTAAGGATCGAACCCAGTGCCTCACATGTGCTAGGCAACTGCTCTACCACTGAACTACAACACTAGCACCAAGCTTCAGACTTTTTAATCACCATAAATCTCTTTGGCAGATAAGCAAATCTTCGGCCAATTAAAGATTTAACGGAGTTAGCATCATTTATTTTATCTAAAAATTTACTTTTTAGGGACTGAGGACATAGTTCAGTGGTAGTCGTACATGCCTAGCATATGTGAGACCCAGGTTTAATCCCCACCAACCTCTCCCCACATACAACTATTTTTCTCCAAAAGGAAGAATTATATCATAAATGTTAAAACATAGTTAATGTGTAATGATTCCAAAACTTAAATTCTTGAACTCTGAGAACCATATCAGATATAATTTCAAAGCTGAAATTCTTTGAGAACTATATCAGACATAAGTCAGAGGATGAATATTCATGTCCATTTTAGTTTATCAGTTTATTTCTAGAAACAAAATATCAAGACATTTGGCTGGGGAGGGTAACATAAACATGTTTTCTCTTAGATTTGCATTTATGTATATTGTACTTAGGGGAATATTGAGAATCTCTTCTGAGCACAGAAAACAATGGGAAAATAGGCAGCCTGTAGTTTTGCTAAATGTACAAAAATCCAAACACAGAGCTAAAAATCCAGCCAGAGATAAAATAAACCAGAGAATGTGTCCATCAAACAATAAAAACGGGTTCTTCCCTTTTTTTTTTTAAATTAGGGACTCCAATTCATGTTTTATCATAAAATTTATCTGCAGTTAATTTTTTGTTAATTGTTTTAAGCTAAAGGGAACTAGAAAGCATTTTGTCTCTTACTTTTCAGTGAATGAGATAAGACGATGGATATTAAACAGTTATACTGAATAAATATTGTTATTAACTGAACCATGTGTAAAAACTTATATATTAATGACATGAGTTTCAATTCTGAGGTATCTGTATGCAGGTGATTAATTTCTTTTTGTTTATCATTAATTTGGAAAAACATATATAGATTTAAAACTAAACTTCCAAACATGAAGAGATTTCTGAACACAAAGATAGTTGATTCTGCTTTCCTATGTATTTTTCTTTCACTTTGTTTTAAGTTCATTCATTAATTTTTTTTTTTTGCATATTCACACAGACAAGAATAAACAGAATGGGGAAAATAGGAAAATGCTTTCTGAACAATTGTATTAAAAATAAAATGTAAAAACGCTCATAAAATGAGATGAAAATATAACATGGAAATCAGAGTGTGTGTTGTCTCTTATTACTTTGGCAGAATAACATATTGCTTACTCTAAATTTTTATATTTATTAAAGGGAAATACAAATGTATGTACTCAGTAGGTCTAAATCCTCTCTCAGAACTTATATTCTATGATTCTATAAAACTCAAGACTGAAATTACTTCTAATTTTTTATAAAGCAAGGAAAAGAGCTGTGATATTTCTTAACAGGCTACAAGTAAAAATTATATAAAAATATTCACTTACCACAAGGCTGTCTTGATTTTCATGGAGCTCAGAAAGTTTTGAACTGGATTTTTGCCGTTTAGGTTTGCTTCTTTCTCCAATATAATCAGAGGTGTTCTCATGTAATTTTTCTACTTCCTGAGTATTCAAGATACACTCATCGAGGCTGTTGAAGCCAGAAGGAATATTTTCTTTGTTGATAAGTCCCCTTGAATTGAAGAAAAAGCAGCTTAATTTTATTTTAAAGAGTAAAGGAAGTACTTTGTAATACTGCCACTGAATCATATATACCAGATGTCTGAAGAATACCCAGAAACTTCAGTTTGCATCTTTGATCAAAATCTCACTAGAGATCACTCCTAAGGCTTCCTGGTTCCCCAATCACATTGAAATAAATTATTCCTACAGGCATTCCTAGTGGCAAGGGCTGTTTCTGCCACAACTTTTGTATTTTACTAAAAGTAATTTGTATTCAAATAGGCAGAACAATGCAAGTTTTTAATAAAATTTCCCATTATTCATGGTAGGTGTTAATATATATAATTTTTAATATTATAAATTAATACAATGTATGGGGGAAAATCAAAAGGAAATACAATGTCTTCTCTAGAGTGGGAATATTTTATTTTTATTTTAGAACGGGAATATTGATGTTCTCAAATAATAGACATTCTAGTAGAGTAAAAACACATTAATATTTAAATCTCACTGAATTAGATAATCTTGGTAGAAATCATATTTTAATAACTTCTGGGCTCGGTGGTGCACGCCTGTAATCCCAGTGGCTCAGGAGGCTGAGATGGGAGTATCACAAGTTGAAAGCCAGCCTTAGCAAAAGTGAGGCACTAAGCAACTCAGTGAGACCCTGTCTCTAAATAAAATACAAAACAGGGCTGGGGATGTGGCTCAGTGGCCTAGTGCCCCTGTGTTCAATCCCCAGTACCAAAAAATAAAAAAATAAAATAAAATAAAAATAAAAACTATGGCATACAAAGCATTTTAACTGAAATATAGATTTGTTACTTCCCTAAGACATAAGCTTGTTAGAATAGAAATGCTATAATTATAGAATTTAATATTCTCAAAATGTTTTAAAGTACTTTAAATATTCAGATGTTTTTACAAAATTAAATTTCTTAGAAAACCTTTTTTTTTATTTTTGTAAATAAAAATGGAACAAATTAAACCATCAGCATAGCACCATGGCTTGGTAAGGAAGAAATGAATGAGATTTTATTCTCCCTCATAGTAAGACTGGGTTAATGTATCTAAAACTGTATCTTGAAATAAATTAATTAAAAAGTAAAAATAGATACCATATTTTACTGTCTTTTCAATCACATCTCAAAATGAAAGATAATATTAAATATTTATTCTGCAATCTAAATTCACATCCTTGGGCTATAATGGAGTCAAAATTATGAATTAAATACTATCATAATATTTTCAAAGTTATATTATCTTGGGTAATTTTTAGCCCTAATATTTAATTTAGTCTTATTTTTTTACAAGTCATCTCTCCTCTTCCTCCTCCTCCTCCTCCTCTTCCTTCTTTTTCTTCTTATTTGATAGTAGGTAGATTGAAACCAGGGGTGCTTTATTACCAAGCAAAATCCCCAGTTCCTTTTATTTTTTATTTATACTGGGGATTGAACCCAGGGTTACGCAACCACTGAGCCACATCCTCAGCCCTTTTATTTTTTATTTCAAGGCAGGGTCTTACTAAGTTACTAGGGCCTCACTAAGTTGCTGAGGTTGGCTTTGAACTTGAGATCCTCCTGCCTCAGCTTCCCAAGTTGTTGGAATTTCAGGCATGTGCCACCATGCCCAGCTCCTTTTTAATGGGGTCTGAAGTTTCTGAGGGTCTCAAAAAGATGATGATACTGGCCGCAAATTATATTATAGTCCTGCCTCAGCCTCCATAGTTTCTGGGATTATAGGTATGTACCACTGCAGCTGGTTTCTTTTCTACAACTCTTAATGTGGAAGTTATACATATTTTGCATAATTATGTAAAAGATTTATACACATCTATGAGAATTACCTAAGCATAAACTAATCAAAGACAGGAAGCAAAGCTTGCAGGAACTAACATGCAAGCACGCACACCTAAAGCTCACACCCCTCCTCTGCACAATGAGAGAGCACCTTTGGTATGAGTTTGGTCTTAAACTCAGAATCACTTGTTTACTACTTAAGTTCTGTCTTCTGATCACTCTTCATGTTTTTCCTAACTTCTGGGGTATGTGTCCAGTTATAATTTTTTCATAGTGGTCCTTTCACACTTGAAGGTTGTTACAATGGACTGCATTGTGTCCCCTCTCAATTCCTTTGTTGAGCTGACATCTATAATCCCAGTGACTTGGAAGGCTATGGCAAGAGGAACACAAATTTGAGGGCATCCTTAGTATTTAATGAGAACTCATTTCAAAATTTTAAAAAGGTTGGGTTAGGGCTGGGGAGACAGCTCAGTGGTAATGCACCCCTGGGTTCAATTTCCAGTACTACCAACAGAACAAAAGAATTTTATGTTGAAGTCCTAATACTCAATGTGACTATGTTGGGAGACAAGGTTTCTCAGAAAGTAATTATCGTCAAATGATGGGGGACCCTAAGCTAATATGAATGCTGTCTTCACATGCACAAGAAAAGACACCAGGAAAGCAGGTGCACAGGGAAGATGGCTATCTGCAAGCCAAGGAGAGAGCTCTTGCCAGAAACCAACCCTTCTGGTACCTTGATCTTGGTGTCCCAGGCTCCTGAACTGTGGGAAGTCAATGTCCATTGTATAAGCCATTCAATCTGTGCATTTTGTTACAGCAGCCCAAGTGGAGTAATATGAAAGCAAAAAATTATTTTAAAAAATCAAATGAGAGTTTATTTTATAATCTTTTGGGACAGTGTCTGCAATAAATCCTTTCAAAATAAATACATGAAAATCTGATAGTGCAGTTGTGCTTATTGTGGAAATCCTGTTCTCCCCAAAGCAAAGTCTTTGTGTTCATGTGCATCAATGTGTGTCAGCCATTGTGCCCATGTGGAGCATGCATACACCATTTCTTAGATTTGATGTGAACTTAGATCTTTGGGCTTCTCATTTTCATCACCTAGGTTTCACTTCCATTTTTTTTTTCAGGGTTTCCTCCTCACTCCTACAGATATATGTAATATTCTAATACTACTAAACTATTTATTATCCTGCCCAATATAGCATTCTTTCTTTTTTACTTCATAGAATTTTAGATATACTTATACATTTAATTTATTTATAGCATTTGGCTTGGTTTTCTATTTCAATGTGTTTTGGAAGATTTAAACCATCTTCATTCAATTGATGCTTTGCTTTTTTGAAAAAAAATTATTACGAATTTCTTCAAATATGCAAAGTAGAGGGATTATCACAAAAAACTTCCATTTACCCATCAACAAGATACTATAACATTTGTATTTACCTTGTAATGGCAGAATTTTTTAAATATATATTTTTTAGTTGTAGTTGGACACAATATCTTTATTTTATTTATTTTTATGTGGTGCTGAGGATCAAACCCAGTGCCTCACACATGCTAGACGAGCATTCTAACTCTGAGCCCCAGCCTCAGCCTTCAGAATTTTTAAATAAATAAATTAACTCAACCTTTATATATACATCAAATATGTTCCTTACAGTTTTATGTTTTTAGTGTAGCAAATAATATGAGTCTGGTTATATTTCCTTATGAATTTAGACAAAGAGCAAATCATTTGCACCAAAATAATTTTCATTATATTTTCTTTTGAAATATAATCATCATTGGCTTCAAGGATACTTTTTAACTGGCTGCAGTTCTAAGTTGTGAGAGGTAAACTGAATTTCTATTTTTTGAAATGGCTTTCAATCATTCCATAAGGCTAATAGTTTTGAATAGAAAATTACAAACTCTAGCTTAATCTTTCCTTATTTTTAAAAACAAAGCCTGATGAAAAGCTTAGATAAATGAATCCATTATGTATAAACATATACTATGAATAACTCATTTACCATAAGCTATTTTTGACATTACAATTTGTATATTAATGACTCTCCTGGGGTTACTCAAGGGGACCTTCATGGTGGCATTTCAAAGTCATGAAAGGAGGAATCTGAGACCAAAGTGTAAATGCTGGATGAATCAGCCAAGTGGAAAGGTATTAAAAGCAAAAAGATGAATGAAAGGAAAGAATGGAGCTAAAGGGAACAAGATTCAGAACAAGAGCCTTGGGCCAAGGAAAGTGAGAGAAAGGATGAAAGAGAGGGGGCAAGAGGAAAGGACTATGGGTCTGGGTCAAAGCTGGGTCAGGGGCTGGCATGGTGGCACATGCCAGTAGTCCCAGAGATTTGTGAGGGTGAGGTGGAAGATGCAAGTTTAAGTGTAGCCTCAGCAACTTAGCAAGACATTGCATCAAATAAACAAACAAACAAATAAACAAATAAATAAATAAGGGCTCTGGGGAAAAGTATTTGAGCTAAATCCCTAGTCCCTCTCACCCCCAATACACAAAGCTGGGTTGGGCAAAATTGTAGCTCTGAGTCTTACAAATGAGCTTTGCTCCTTGAGGACCTGGGGAGCTGAAAGAAGGCATTGGAAGTGGGCTTGATGGTTAACTATTCACATTTGATATGACCTAGTGGGTTAGCTGGGATGGTTGGGCATTTCACGGTGACAAGGGTGATACAAATAAGGAGCACTAGAAAGGGACTTCTGCATGCCTAGTCCAAGGAAAATAGACTATGGTGGGACTGTTTGTAAGTTAGCTTGGTTACAGACAGTACCCCAATAGTATATAGATATCTATCCCCCAAGATTCTCTTATTCAGTGTTCAGTTGTGACTTAACCAGGACCAGGAGCCAAAATGATCAGTGGAGGAAAACCCAGAGAACAATTGAGGGTGGGGTTGGAGTTCTGTGGGAGTGGTCTGCAGATGATCAGCCTCTACCACTCTCCATCTCCTTTGGTTCCTCCAAGTTGCTAATTAAATACAATCCAGATAACTTCAGCAAAAAATGTCAGCCCATGGACTTGGGAAATTATATTTAAATTCAGACATATTTAAATGTCTCATATTTCTTGGCCCTGTCTGGCCCCTGCCCGTTTTTGACCTTATCCCCACTGTTCACCATCTGCTGCCACCAACCACCCACATCACCCTGTTCTTGCTATCAGCACACTACCACTTCCCACCCCTACTTGCTTTCCTTCTGTCCAAAGAGGGTGGAAAGCAAGATGTCATATACATGGAGGATATTTTAAAAATGCAAAGTGTTGCTACATACTATTCAGCAAAAAACAAGGCAGAGGGTAAGAACAGTGGTAAATGAATAATTCATACTTGCTGTATAATAAAACATAGGCAAAACACTAATTATATGCCTAACACTTTCTATAAAACTCAGTCAGTAGCCAATTTTAAATGCTATAGTTTTTCTATTTTCTAAGTGGAAGGTTACAAACACCCCTCGTATCCACCAGCTCTAAGACAAATGTTTTCTTTAAAAAAAGTACAGTATAAGTAACTGGTAAAGTTAATGGGTTTTTATCATTAATAATGCTTTATTTCTGAGATTACAGTTGTTAATATAGATCTTAGCATCTCAATGCTATACTGCATGGAATTTATTTATCTTTTTGGTTTTCTTTAAGCCAATAGAAGTTTTTGTTTTGTTTTGTTTTTGCCTAACAAATATTTTGATGAAGACTATGATTCAGGTGAAAAAAAAATGAGGGGAACTTAGGTTTTGTTTAGTTTTTGACTTTAGTAAGGAGTTCAAAACAGTAACTGTGATAAAAATAATCTTAGAACTTTCAGGGGGAATCTGAATATAAGTCTATTATCTGTGTAAAATTATTTTTCTCATTAATTTAAATTGTGAATATTAAATAATTTGAATGGTAGTTGTTCATCTGTATTTTACATTGAATCTTTTTTTAAAATTTTTTTCTCTTTATTTTTTAATTGAGCAGATTTACTAACGTGCTTATTAACAGAATTTTATGCATCCCACCAAAACAAACATGCAGAAATAGTGTTCCTCCCATTTGAGTGCTTATAGTAACCAAAATAGATTTTCAAATCATTTTTTCTTGCTAGAGTCTGTAAACAAGTCAAGATGGCGCCTGGCATTTTGCAGAGGGAGTGGTTTGTGAAGTAACACCAGCGAGCCATTAAGTGTGGAGATTCCTGATTGGTTGACTGATGTATATAGTTTATGTTAATTAGATAAGCCATGTGGAATGTATAAATACCTCTGTTGTCCTACAGTAAACGGCTCCTACTCCTGCTGTATGAATCTACACAAGTTGTTCGTCAATCCGCCCCCCCCCCCCCCTGTTATTTTGTTGCAGCCGGACTGCGGCATTTTCTTATAGTAATTACCCTAAAAAATCATCAATGTAAGTGCTGTGAAAAAGTAAAATTTGAGGGGGAAAAAACCTTTTTGCTTATTTACTATTAAAAGAAAGATTGATTCAAGTTATTAAAAAACTGAAGGAAATAGTTCCTTAATTTTGCTCAGTCATGGAAGTAACCATGAATTTAGCATCTCAGTGATTATCTGCCCAAGTTTTTGGAAGGTGGGGTGGGTGAGAATCACCCTCTGTTGGTCAGGAGTGGACCAGCCTGGGAGATTATGCTGCGAATCTAGGTTGCCCTTTGTGTAAGCAGCAGAAGTGATTTGTCTTAAGGGTATGAAAGAAGAACAGGACTTAGATAAAGCTTGGTAGAAGTGAAAGAAGGTTTCCTTGTTCCTGGTCAATATAGTCCATTTTATGTGCCAAAAGTGCTCACCAATAGTTCACTCTTGGACATTCAAGAGTGCTCATAGCCAGGCATGGTGGTGCATGCTGTACTCTCAGCAGCTAGGGAGGCTGAAGCAGAAGGATGATGAGTTCAAAGCCAGTCTTTGCAACTTAGTGGGGCTCTAAGCAACTAGTGAGAACCTGTCTCAAAATAAAATATAAAAAGGGCTGGGGATGTGGCTCAGTGGTTAAGTACCTCGGGGTTCAATCCCTGGTATCAAAACAAGAAGAAGAAAACCAGAGTGCTCATGCTAGGATCTCAAAGAACCCATGAGAAGTCTTCTTGGGATAGCACACTTTTATTTTTTTTTTTAACCAGAAATTGATCCTTGGGATGCTCAACCACTGAGACATATCCTTATGCTTTTTATATTTTATTTAGAGACAGGGTCTCACTGAGTTGCTTAGCACCTTGCTGTTGCTGAGGCTGGCTTTGTACTCACAATCCTCCTGCCTCAGCCTCCTGAGCCGTTGGGATTATAGGCATACTTAATCACTTTTTTTGTATAGTGAAGGCTTTGGAAATTGTGATCCTCATCCATCTTTTTAAAATGAGGTGATACTCAACTAAGAAAATAAAATATATGGGACATTTTCTTACGGTATATCCTAGTGCCCTAAGCCTTTGTTGTATTACTATTCTAAGAGTTCATCAGAATATTGACCCTTAAGACCCTGAAGATTTTGGTTGAAGTGGTAGAAGATGAAACAGAAAGAGGACAAGAGTGGTATTTCTTAGTAGACAAAAATGGAGCTTTTTTGTGGCCATTTCTATCAGTCCTTCATAGGAAACGCTGGGAGATTTGACTTGAAATGATCTGTTCGTTTGTCATCCTGGGGGTCCTTTCTGTTCAGTCATCTTGACTCCTCCCTTTCTGCTTTTGGAGTCGACCCAGGTCCAGAAGTTCAATGGGCGACCTTGTGGGCATCCTCCATCTTTTGGGGGGCAGGTCCCAGGTTACCCCGGCCACTGCCTGTGTGCTTTACCTCTGCTCTATATCAATCCTTTAATGGAGATTAAAACTCCTTGTAATACCCTTCTGAAATGCGTACTGTGAGAATGCCTTAAAGTTAGTCATTAAAATTAGAAAGAAGTTCAGCTTTTTGTCTTTTGATTTGACTTAAGCTCAATCTTTCTTACACTAAAGCATAACCAAGGTCAAACTATTTCAGTGAGATTCTTGTATTAATCAGGTCAATATCCTGGTTCATCTTCTGGTTAATAAACTAGTCTAACAATCAACTTAATGTTGACTAACGAGGAAATAAAAATGCCTCTGGACAGGCATATGTCCAGTTTCTCAGGATCTCTCTAAATAAGACATTCCAGAGGAAGATATGAAAACGAATTAAATCAGAGGTGGTTTCCCACAATGCACAGAACATCTAGAAGAAACAGGTATTTATTCAGTGCCTATGAATTTCTAAATGTGAACTAAGTTTAGAATGGTCAAAATGAAAACTTTGAAAGTGTTAACCTAAATACTGAAAAGGGAGAGGAGTGACTGGAATATAGCAACTCATTCAGCTGTGTGTCTTTAAAAGAAGAAGAGAAAACTCAAGCAAAAAGAAGCATCAGCGTCAACTTACTTATCTCTACAACAATGAACTTCATCCTGCTCCTTGGATTGGCGTCGTCGCTGCCTGGCGGAGCTGGAAGAAGATGCTGAAGAGGTTCCAGATTCTGAGTCCTCTGAACTTTGACCTCCAGAGCTGTTAACATCAAAAAGATGCTGTTCCACAGCTGACCGAATGGTTCTCTCTAAGAGTCTGATTAAAAAAATATATATAATTACAATCAAGCAATCAAGTTTATCATTGATTTCTTTTAAAAACACATGCCTGTACTTTTGGAAACATCTTTTTCCAATGGAAGATCTTTCATACTTCATGAATGAAGACAGAGTATGCATGACACTTGAATCAAACAATACTTGTAGCATGTACTTAAAAGAAAATCGAACAATTTCCAGCACTTTAATAACTGTGCTTCTCATTTTTAGGGTCTTGGATTATGATAATGCTCATGTCCAGCAACAATTATGAGTTATTCAGGAAATAAGTATCACTTAATATAAGGCAGAATGAGGAAAGATTTTTTTCCCTTGTAGAATAATTCTTTTGGATTTTATACCAGTTCTGCAGATGACGATAATATGATTTATAAGGCAAACTGGCACAAATAATGTTAGGATACCTTTTATATATGTTAAATACTTAGAATCCTTTTAAGATAAAATTATACAGGGAACAACGATATTTGGAAAGAAAACAAACAAACCCAGCTCATAAGAACAATTACAGCTCATAAGACATAATCTTTCCTAACCTCTAATTGGATAAATTATGCTGTATAAAATTGAAGCTGCATTCATACAAACACACTCCACAATATATTATTCAAGTTGGAAGGGTAGATTTACTTGTTTGACCTGGGAAAAACAGGTAAATACAAAAGGCTGAAAAGAAGGCACGAGTAGATATGAATGGTTATCATTTTTAAAGCTATAGAATCTTTCAATGTGTCTAAACATTCTTTTATAACCATGCTATTTAATTTTGAATAAGATGCCATGGAAAATTCTCAGCTTCTACTCCTTTGAAGCATGTTTTTCTTCACTTACAAAAGAATCACACAGATGTTTTTTAAGTGCTTAAACTTAGAAGAAACATTCTCTAAAATAAAATAGTATTTTGAGAATTTAAGATTTTCCAAATGTAGTTTTATAAAGGACTCATTTGTTTCATTCAACTTTTATTATGACTATTTTAAGACAGTGAGTAAGTAGAGTCTAAATTAATTTGGGCATTAGAACTATTTTACTTTATCTGTGTCCCAAATGACAGATTACCTAATGTGTTATGAAGGGATGTGAGTAAATTAATATGTACACACAGACCAATTTATAGTTTTCTAAACTGTATTAGACATATAAGTAGGAAAGGATTTTAGGAAACAAAAAGAGCAAGAACATGTCAATCTTGGTATAGTTTTGGGATTTCTTTAAAATTGATAGACCTGAGGGAAGTCAATCCTGCCCTTTGCTTGCTTCTTCACCCGAGAAGGAGGAGCATAAATCCAAATCCATCCTGTTAGGCCCCGATTCATTCTAATTAATGCTTCTTCTAATTCTTCTCTCCTTCCCTATTATATCACATCCTTCCCACCTACCACACCTGATCCTTGCCAAGGAGGGACACTTCAAGAAGGCCTGCACGTGTCCCAGCAAGAAAAGAAGAGAATCTGGGTCCAGTGGCCATGCCTGTAATCCCTGTGCTTGGGAGGCTGAGGCAGGAGGATTTTGACTTCAAAGTCAGCTTCAGGAACTTAACTAAGTAACTCAGTGAGACTCTGTTTCTAAATAAAATATAAAAAAGGGCTGGGGATATAGCTCAATGATTAAGTACCCCTTGATTTAATTTCCAGTTAGAGAAGGAGGAGGAGGAGGAGGTGGGGGGGAGATGTGAGGGGAAAGGTCTTTGAGCCAGAAGCCATTCATTCAGTCATTTGACAAACACTGCATTGGGTCCTAATAAATGCCACATACTATTCTTGGTGTTAGGGAGTTTGCAATGAACACAACAGGCAAGGTCTTATGTTGATGGAGCTTAAATTCTCATAAGGCAAGAGAAATAACAAATATAGCAATGTAATGTCAAATAGTGGAAAATTCTCTAAAACAAAGGTTGGAGAGTGAGGACAAGTAACCAGGGATTCCCAGATGAAATGACATTTGCACAAAAAGTGAATGATAAGAAAGTGCTGGCCAGAGAGAGAAACAGCCAGTGCAGAGACTCTTGGCAGATATAAGCTGGCCTACTCCAGCAACAGGTTGGGCGGCTGAAGCATACACAACAACGTGGTCAGAGGGACCCCAGAGCCAAAACCTGGAGTTAGGATTTGATCAAAGTGAAGTGGAGGCCCTTGGAGGAAACAGACATCTTCGGATATCAGGAATGGAGCACCACCTCTGTCCTGTGGAGAAAGACTTGCTGCCATCACTAATTTGCTTCATTTTTTTTTCATCCCTGTAAAAAAGGACTATAAAATTCTTGCAGTCAGAGCCCAAGGTTTACCTGACAATACACATCTAACTCTGCGCTTGGCATATCCCATACTCTCAGTAAATGGAGACACAATAAAATGAACATAGGAAGTAAATACATGGTTAATATTTCAACCTTTAACTACATTCTCTTAGGTGCCCCCAGAGCACCTAGGCTCCTTTGCAAATATGAATTGACCCTGACATTATTTTTCACAAAGTAAATAAAAAGTTGGTGGTTTGAAATGGTGGCATTCTCTAGTCGCACACAGGACCTTACGCAGGAAGCACCGTAGTCCTCTCCTCTGCATTCAGGTGGCTTAAGAATCATCATATATGAATATACCACAGTGAATTCCACCTTTATGTACATCTATAAAGCACCAATTAAAAACAAATAAATAGAAGGAAGACCAGTAGAGGAAGGGGTTCAGGGGGAGGGAGGAAGGAAAGGAAAAGGAAAGTTCTGGGAATGAAATGGAGGAAACTATATTCCATGCATGTGTGATTATGTCAAAATGAACCCTACTGTATCACTATAATGCACCAATAAAAAATAAGCGGTACAAAAACCACTGGTTGTCTATCATTTTCATAGTTCAATACTGTACAAGTTTGAATTGCTTTTTTTCTGTTTAATAAATGGGAATGGGTAATTAAAAAAAAAAAACACAAAAACTCAACCCAAATAACTTACTCTCCAGTTGTTGAAACACTGCTGACTTGGGACACATGAGCACTGTGGAGAAGAAGCAAAGAGAGAAGTCAGGTTAGATGAGGGGTCACAGACGGTAAGCCAAGTATCTGAAGGGGATCCCAGGCTGGAAGAATCAGCCAGGTTCTGAGTGACCCTTGCACTATGTTTAACCCTCCCTTGCCAGGTGCTCATTTTCTTGCATTTCTAGAAATAGAGAGGGCCCCAGTTGTCTTTTCCTCAACAGTGGCCTCTCGCCTTTTTAGACATGTCCACAGCAACAATTTCATAACAGATCTTGGAAAATGATCTTTTCACTCTCCCCTTAGTTCCAAAGTCCTGTTTTAGGGGCTTTTCATTTTCCTAAAATGTTAATGAAATTGTTACCAACTGCCTTCCTGAGACCTATCCCACAGATTTCCTGCTCTCCTAGGCCAAATCCATCTCCTCCTGGTCCCCAGGCCGGCAGATAGAAGCATCCATCATCTCAAACTCTGTAAGGTTCATCTTAACAGATGATTTACAATCTTTTTTGTTGAGCATTTATAAACTTTCTCTACATTCTCATTTTTCCAAAGATTGAATACTTTCAAAAGAGTTAAAAAGTGGTCAACATAAAGCAGAGAGTAATAGAAGTATTCAATATGACTGACAGCTTCAGAACTTTCTCCCTCACGCAGGCCACATGCACATACCCACAGTGAGGGCTGAGGCCTGTGGCCATTTTAAAGGTATTCATACCATGAATTTCTTCCATTCTGCCCTCTAGTGCTTCCAAATCAAGAACTGTGCTTTTTAAAAAGAGGTTAAATAAGAAGGTAGAAAACAAAACAAAAAACGCACAAAATGTTAGTTATGTTAAATGTCAATTTTACCTAGCAGTTCTCTCCCTTTTTCTTCCTTCCATCAATGCCATTAATGGTCAATATTGATAATTTTCTTTCAGCTACTCCTAATACCCTAATTTACACTGTATAATTTTCAACATATGAACATGTTGCTTTCGAATCATCTGTTAGTTTTTTCCTCCCATGTAAGTGTATAGCCTGTCTCTTTTAATTCAGAATCAAAGTGCCTCAAGGAATTATGATATTTTTCCTTTTCTTTCATCATACTCCCTAGCATGGCCACCACCTCACAGCAGGTACAGGACTCATTATCCCAGAGGTGATCAGCAAACACACATTGGCCACACAGAATTTTCTTTTGTTAAAACTGCAGCTCTTTGTTATGGTCGCCGATAGGAAAACCATGAAAACAAGCTACTGTGCAAAAGAACACTGATGTGAAGAATCATAAAGTAAACATGTAAAAAAATAAATAAAATGCCCTAAAACTTACTGAATACTTACTATGCTTCAGATTCTGTGCTAAGTTCTTTTTACATAGATTTCCTCAGGGTTTACAACAGCCCTATGAGGTAGATGTTATTGCTTTCTTTGTTATCAAAGAATTTCAAGAGATTGAGTAAGTTGGCCATAGAGCCAAGAAATAGATGAGCTACAATTTGAACCAAGTAAGTTTTAGCTCAGCTCTTTAGCTCTTAATCACTATGCTACACTACACTGTCTTTTAATCCATTACTCACTAGAGAAAAAACTCACTGGAGTCATCTTTGTCTATGAAGACATGGAGATAGTATTTTATTTTGCTTTTAATCACAATAATTTCTCCTCTGCTTCATGATGGCTGTTATTCAGAATGGTTCCCAGGCTACATAACCAACAGTAAATCCTTTGCTGCTCTCTGTCCTCAGCTGGAACAGGCAGTCCCTGCTTTTGATGTTTTGTGGTTCACCCTCTGTAAATCCAACCCTGTATAATTAACTCTTATACTCCACTTCTCACTACAGTTACACAATCTTGGTTTTGGGAGCAGGGACCAATATTAATAATGACTCAGGGGGAAACCTAGAAGAGGAGAGGAATGTAGATTTGCTAGATGCTAAAAAACATTCCAAAGACAAGTTGTTAGCCAGTTAGCCCCCCAAGCCATCCCAGAATGAAGAGATGTACTTCTCCTCCCTTTCACACATTTAAAAAAATCTTTTTCTTTTTTTATTGATTAAAAAAAAAAAAAAACACGACCGCGGAATGCATTACAATTCTTATTACACATATAAACCACAATTTTCATATCTCTGTTTGTATATAAAGTATGTTGACACCCAATTCGTCACATATTTTTTTAAAGATTTTTTTTTGTAGTTGTAGATGGACAGAATGGCTTTATTTTATTTGTTTATTTTTACGTGGTGCTGAGGATCGAACCCAGTGCCTCACGCATGCTAGGCAAGTGCTCTGCCACTGAGCTACAGCCCCAGCCACCTTTTCACACATTTTTGACTTGTGCTTCTTTCCACATGAATATGTGTGTGTGTGTGTATACTGTATGTGTCTCTATATATGTAATACACGTGCATATATGTGCCTATGTATAGTATAAACACACATACATATATTTTGCCTTTATATACATATATATCTATATGTCAGAGGGATATAAAAATATATAAAAATGTTTATATGTGTGTACATGTATACATGCATACACACACACACACACACACACACATTTGAGTTGCTGGGGATCAAACTCAGGGCCTCACATATGCTGGCCAAGTACTCTGTCTACCAATGAGCCACATCCCCAGCCAGGTTCTGCATTTTTAATAAATTCGCCAGTGATCCTGCTGTTGTGGGTTTTGTAGAAGACACCTTGAATAGCAAGACTTATATTCTTGCAAGTAAAATTCTTTAAAAGCATGATATGAAAAATTCATGCTAGCAGTAGTGAATAAAGTCAACACATTAAAATTTCCTTTACAGCTTAAAAGAAAAGTGATCTGAGCAATCTATATCAGTCATAAGAAGCCTTTCTCAAAATACAAAAGTAAATAAATAAATCAATAATAAAACCAAATAATTAAATCATATTCATTTTTTAGCATATTTATTTTAGGTCAGATGTATAACCAATTTATATTTTTATGTTTTTAAATAGTACTTAAAATATAAATTGATGTTTTTAATAGTATTTTGGTATTTCCAGTTTATGTATTCCATTTTTTTTTTTTTTTTTTAAGAAATTAAGAGAAGAGAACACTTTCCATTGGGAATCAGAAAAAGTTTTGGTCTTGGCTCCGCAGTTAATTGGCTGAAATCATAGTCAGGTTGTTGGTTAGCCTGGCTGCTTTGGGTTGGTTTCTTCATACAGAAAATGAAAGGCCTGGCTAGGGAATCTCTGTGGTTTTTGTTTAGCTCTAAAAGTTTATAACACTATCTCAAATTCAAGTTTATTGTCCTAAAGTTTAGATCATTACAAAAGACTAAACTGCATATTTAGTTTTATGACTATATTAGTCAAATTTATGGCTTAGAAGATGCCAAAATGACTTTGGTCAGGTATCCAACCACCTCTGTAATTCCTGTGGGATGTGTTTTATAACAATTCACCAACAACAAGATTTCTAAGAAAATTTAATGACAGAAATAAGGATAAAGATTTCTTCCATAGCTATAGTTTGCCTCATGAAGAAAACTCCAAGACACAAACAAAAAAAGCAAAAGCATTTAAATTATAAGCTAAAGTGAAGGTTTCCTTCCTCCATGTGTAGCTTGTTTTTTTATCCTCTGTGCGCAATAAGAATACATTTTTCAGAACCTTTGACTGACTTGCTAAGAAAATTTCTTTCTTACTCATTGTAAACATGGATATGGAAGGGCTCATTTCCTAATGTTGATAAAGCAAGTATCAAAAATTGAAAGTAGTAGGTTCATATGTAAATCCCAGCGTTAAGGCCAATTTCATTACCCAGGCCTACTGTTACTGATGAAGCAACTGAATACTGTTTTGGTATGGTCATTTAAAATAGTCTAGGCTGACTCTGAAATATGTTCTAGAATATAAATATCTTCAGTCTTTATTTCTATTAGCAAAACTCAACCTCCATTTCCTTAAACCAATTTCGCTTAGTAACATTGGTCTCTCTAATCTGCATGTGGTAAAATGCACAGATGCCTGTTGGCGAGTGATTCCTTAAATAGATCTCTTGATTTGAAATGAAGAAACATACACACAAAAGGAAATAAGTTTCAAATCTACAAAAACAAGATATCTTGAAAAGGCATGTATTCTATGTATCCTCTTCTATGGCCTGTAAAATCTGCCTATAAATACTGCTGTTTTAATAGAAATCAATAGGGTCTAATGGAATCATTTCTCACTAATATAACATTTATACTTACTTCAGTTAGAATTGGAAAGACAATTATTTGAGATTTGTTTAAATAAGCAAACATAAGTTACATCAAAATAACATGAAACTCTTAATTTCCCTGATTTAACAAAAAAAAAATCAGTATTCTTAGTATCATCTTAAAATACTGAAAGTTGATAAACAGTGTCAACATTGTAGAGGACTGTAAAATTTATTTGTAACTGTATAATGACTTTCAAAATTTTTTCATGATTTTAGTTCATTTAGATTATTATACATTAAAACAAATAGACTTAATGTTAAATATTTATTTATTCCTTTTGCTTTAACATTTAGCTATGATTATCATGCAGAAAGTTAATGGAATATTTATAGTGTTTCAACTTGGATAATATTAACCACCTTTTGTGAAATATTTTTGAATTTTATTTAATTATTTTTAAAAAAAATTTTTGATACTGGGGTTGAGCCCAGGGGCACTTTGCCACTGAGTTACATTACCAATCCTCTTTCTGTTATTTTTATTCTTGAAATAGTTTTGCTAAGTTGCCAAGGTTGGCCTTGAATTTGTGATCCTCCTCTCTCAGCCTCTAGAGTACCGGGTACACTTTGGTTTTAAATTATATACTATATATACATAATATACCAGAACATAAATTGAAAACATACTACACAGATATGACTTCAAGAAGAAGATATTCTTATACTTTCACTAACTTTACACTTACAATTCTAATTATTAGTAGTATTCCCCTTAAATTTACCAGGAGTGTTTCTAATTTATACTTTCATATTTACTCCCAAAGAATCAGTTCTTCAGGGGCTG